TAGTAGTAGTAGTAGTAGTAGTAGTAGTAGTAGTAGTATGAATTTTTTTCCCACTTCCCCTCATATTAGAATAATCTTATTACATAAATGAAGTATGAATTTCAAAGACATCATAAAACTTTAAACTGAGGTATCATTAATAGATAAAGAATTGTTTAAAAGGAAACTATAGCTAAATTTCATCTATTGATTCAATCCTCAGTAACATCATGAATAAGTTATGACAGTCAAACACACTTCGGTCAGCAATGATGAAATACACCCTAGCTGTCTCCCAAGAACTATATTACTTCTCTTTAGTTTTCCCTTTATTTTACAAACCTGTAGATTTCCCTACTTCCCTGATATATATGACTTATTAGAAACTAATTAAGCAAACACAATATTGCATAATTGAGGTATCCGTAATCATACACCAAGAAGCATCAAACAAACGGATTGAGGCATGAGGTGTCCAGTTTTAGGAATTCATAAATGTTTTTCTGCATTTCACTGTATTACTAGAATTGTGATTGCCATTTAATTACCACCAAATCTCTTTATGTCACCTGATAAACAGTTTTGCTATATTCATGCATCTGTTTCTTTCCTGGTTAAGCCAGAAGAAGTATACATGAAAAAGTCGAAATGGAGAGTGGTTGGATGGTCACATTCAAGGAAATAAATAAACTATTATTACCATTTCTCTTAAGTTGCTCTCTCTGATTCATCCTATAAGCAAATAAAATATTAGCACTATTGAGGTATCTACTAATTTAAAATGTGCACCTTATTTACAACGATACATATTATTGGTCAGTCAATATTTCTTATAAAAAGAAGTGGTTTACGCGTTTGCATCACCGTGAAATCAAATCATTGACATCACTTTAGCATTATAATACCTCAATTCCTCATGAGTCACAACCATATCACCATCAGCTTTTTACTAAAGCTTCAGAGTTCTTGTACAATTTTCATAACAAGAGAAGAATTGCCCTTTTATGTAGTTGTAGAGGCATTTATCCCTGCTTCTGTGAAGATGCTATTACACTAGATAGTTTTAAAGAGTTTCGAATATTTGCCAGCAGAAAGCTATGACCTTTTATTTCTAGTATTAGAACAAGAAAAAGAAGTTTTATAGGTGAAATGGATAACATAATATCACATACTTGAACCATCGAGTATAACAATAAACTGTATTTTAATCAAGACATAATTGCTAACTGAAAAGTTTATTTTATTTAAAACAAAAAGTTACAATGAGAATGTTATTAGAATATATTTTTGGTTAAAGTATGTTTTATATACAACATTTGGCAGTAAATAAAAAATATACAATCATGTGAGTACACATGCAAAGATGCCATACTGTCGGTCAGTCAACATTTAAGCAATAAAACAAATCCAAAATGCATAGAGATTCACGCATTTACAGTACTGTTGAATGTGAAATCAAGACATTATTGGAAATTATTTATATATAATACATCAATTTCTCACTAAGACGAGTCCCTTTTTTTTGGTACAGGGAGAAGGAAAGGAAACAAAACAAAACTCAAACTAAAATAAGAAGAGCATCATGCTCTACACTGTTCTTAACCATAATTGGAGGCGTGTACCAAAAATGCCACTTCCCACCTTGATGAGCACCAAACTTTGCCAGGATATCAGCTGAGGAATTTGCTTCTCTAGGTACATGAGCTAAGTGGCAACTCCAAGCACGATTCATAAGCATACGAATTTGCAGGACAACTCTGGCATGGGGATGAAAATTCAAATCCAAAAGTCCCATAACCACATTAACCACATCAAGAGCATCACATTCGCACTTTATTTCACGGTAGCCACATCCCCAAGCAACCTCAAGGCCATTCCTAAGAGCTAGTAATTCTGCAAGAGGAGCATCACCTTGGCCTTCATTGGATGAAAAAACCGTCAGCCATTCACCTTGCTGGTTACGGACCAAACCACCAGTACCCATCTGGCCATTTCTAGAACAGCTACCATCTATATTCAATTTAAGAAAAGGAGCTAGAGGAGGAGACCACTTAGGTTTGGAATGGGTTCCATAAATCGCAACCTCCCTTGCACAATCTAATTCTAGAGCTCTAATCCAATTTAATACTTGGGAAATAGACCAAATTTCCTGTTCAAAGATATAATTATTCCTCCATTTCCAAATCCACCAAGCTGCAACTGAAAAAAGGGTTGAGTGATCACCATAAATCATACTCTCAATCCAAGAAACAACATTAGTAGCATTGAAGGCAGGCAAAGTAGAGAACCCAAGCCTCTTCCAAACTTCACGAGCATGGTGGCAATCTCTAAGGCAATGGAGAATGTCTTTATCCCTTGTGAGGCAGCAGGGGCAAGATGCAGAGGCAGCCAAATGGCGTTGAAATCTAAGTTGATTTGTTGGAAGAGCCGTTCTAAATGCAAGCCAGAGGAACATTTTGATCTTCTCAGGAATTGATAGCTTCCAGAGCGTTTTCCATCTACCCCTACCTACTCCAGTAATATTATCACATAACAGAAATTTATAAGCAGTGGCTGCAGTGTACAAACCAGTTCCATTAGGCCTCCAACACCAATTATCCTGAGTTTCATGGACTAAAAGTGGTCTCACATTCGCAATACGAGTCAATACTTCCACAGGGAGATTTGTTTGTAATCTGGACAGGTTCCAATTGTCATTAAGGATAACGTCTTTTACATTTAGTAAGATATCTGATGGATGGATTAAACCAACACGGTTAGATAAAGGGCCAAACCCAAGCCAATCATCAAACCAAAAGGAAGTGTCACCCGCTCCAAGCTTAAAATAGAAGCCATCTTTAATAGAAACAAAAGCTTGCACAATATTTCTCCATATACATGAGTCCCCTGGCCTAGCTTTGATAGTGAACATAGATTTTCCTTGAAGGTATTTGTGCTTGAGTAACTGAACCCAAAGACAATCCTCATTAATGCATAATTTCCAAGCTAACTTTCCCAGAAGAGCGTTATTAGTTATATCAGCCCCACTAAGACGAGTCCCTATCACATTCTACAACTAGCTAAAGCTGCAGAGTTCTTACACTATTTGCAAAACAAGAGAAGAAATGGCCCTTGTAACAAAGACTTAATTAATACCCGAATTAGATTCTATGATTTTAAAGAAAAAATGATAATGAAAGTGTTCATGGATGGTATTTTTTGTTGAATCATGATTTTGAGTAAATAAAAAATGCACAAACGCTTGATTACCAATACAGTAAATCAATAATGCCACAGTGTTGTTGGTCAGTCAACCTTCTTTAATGCTAAAAACAAAAACCAAAAAGTCAAAGGTTCACGCGCACTCATCATGGACTTTACTTAAAAGCATAGTTCAAGCTTCAGTGTTCAGATCAGATCTACTTTTTTGCTAAACAAGAGAAGAATGGCCTTTGCTATGGTGGGAGAGGCTCTCATCTCTGCTTCTGTGCAAACCTTGTTGGATAGGATTACTTCTTCAGAGTTTCGAGATTACTTTGCCAACAGAAAGCTCAATGTTTCTCTCTTGGATGAGCTGAAGATAAAGTTGTTGTCACTCAATGCTGTGCTGAATGATGCTGAGGAAAAACAGATCACTGATCTTGCAGTGAGGGCATGGCTTGATGAGCTCAAAGATGCTGTCTTAGATGCTGAGGACTTGTTGGATGAAATCAACACAGATTCTTTGAGGTGCAAGGTGGAGGGAGAATCTAAAACCTTCACTAACCAGGTCAGATCATTCCTTTCTTCTCCCTTTAATCAATTTTATCGGAGCATGAATTCCAAGCTTGAAGCAATATCTACAAGGCTAGAACATTTTGTGAAACATAAAGATATTCTTGGTTTGCAAAGTGTTTCTAGAAGAGTATCTTCCAGAACAGTTAAAGATTCATTGGTTGAATCTGTTGTTGTTGCAAGGGAAGATGACAAAGAGAAGCTCCAGAGAATGCTTTTATCTGATGAAGATGGGAAGAAGAATCATATGGAAGTGCTGACAATATTGGGCATGGGTGGTCTGGGAAAAACAACACTAGCTCAATGTCTTTATAATGATAATGCAGTGCAGAAACATTTTGATTTGACAATTTGGGCATGGGTATCTGATGATTTTGATGTGTTTAGAGTTACAAAGACAATTGTTGAATCTGTCACTTCTAAAAAGAGTGATAGTACTAATTTAGATGCACTTCGGGTTGAATTGAAAAACAACTTAAGAGATAAAAAATTCTTGCTTGTGCTGGATGACCTTTGGAATGAAAAATACAATGACTGGAATCATTTAATAGCACCTTTTACAAGTGGAAAGAAGGGAAGTAAGATCATTGTGACAACCCGACAACATAGAGTTGCACAAATAACACATACATTTCCCATATGTGAGCTGAACCGTCTAACAGATGAAAATTGTTGGTGTATACTTGCAAAACATGCATTTGGAAATGAAGGATTCATCAAATATCCGATGCTAGAAGAAATTGGTAGAAAAATCGCAAGAAAATGCGATGGCCTACCACTAGCAGCTAAAACATTGGGAGGTCTTTTGAGATCAATTGTTGATGTAGAGGAATGGAATAGAATTTTGAAAAGCAACTTATGGGCACATAATGATGTTACACCTGCTTTACGCATAAGTTATCTTCATCTTCCGGCACATTTGAAAAGATGTTTTGCTTATTGCTCAATTTTTCCCAAACAACATTTGTTGGATAGGAAGGAATTGATTTTGTTATGGATGGCTGAAGGCTTTCTTCAACAAATCCATGGAGAGAAATCATTAGAATCAGCAGGGGATGAATGCTTTAATGAATTATTATCTAGATCTTTAATTGAAAAAGACAAAGCTATAACAGAGGAAAAGTTTCGAATGCATGACCTCACATATGATTTAGCTAGACTAGTATCGGGAAAAAGTTCTTACAACTTTGATGGTGATGAAATCCCAAGAACTACTCGTCATTTAGCATTTCTTAAAGAATATTTGTGTATGAGCTGAAGATAAAGTTGTTGTCACTGAATGCTGTGCTGAATGATGCTGAGGAAAAACAGATCACTGATCTTGCAGTGAGGGCATGGCTTGATGAGCTCAAAGATGCTGTCTTAGATGCTGAGGACTTGTTGGATGAAATCAACACAGATTCTTTGAGGTGCAAGGTGGAGGGAGAATCTAAAACCTTCACTAACCAGGTCAGATCATTCCTTTCTTCTCCCTTTAATCAATTTTATCGGAGCATGAATTCCAAGCTTGAAGCAATATCTACAAGGCTAGAACATTTTGTGAAACATAAAGATATTCTTGGTTTGCAAAGTGTTTCTAGAAGAGTATCTTCCAGAACAGTTATACGACTACTATATGGAAAGGAAAGGAATATAATAATTCCCTTTATTCTGGCAGTAGAACGAGAAAAATAAGTTTATTGGTAAAAAAATATAAATTTATTTTCAGAAAAGGAAACATCACTCACATACTTGATGGATTAAGTTTAATAATAAACCGTGATCTTGTAACAAAGACTTAATTAATACCCGAATTAGATTCTATGATTTTAAAGAAAAAAATGATAATGAAAGTGTTCTTGGATGGTATTTTTTGTTGAATCATGATTTTGAGTAAATAAAAAATGCACAAACGATTGATTACCAATACAGTAAATCAATAATGCCACTGTTGTTGGTCAGTCAACATTCTTTTATGCTAAAAACAAAAACCAAAAAGTGAAAGGTTCACGCGCACTCAGAGCATTGACTTTACTTAAAAGCATAGTTCAAGCTTCAATGTTCAGATCAGATCTACTTTTTTGCTAAATAAGAGAAGAAATGGCCCTTGCTATGGTGGTGGGAGAGGCTCTTATCTCTGCTTCTGTGGAGATCTTGCTGGATAGAATTACTTCTCCAGAGTTTCGAGATTACTTTGCCAACAGAAAGTTCAATGTTTCTCTCTTGGATGAGCTGCAGATAAAGTTGTTTTCACTCAATGCTGTGCTGAATGATGCTGAGGAAAAACAGATCACTGATCTTGCAGTGAGGGCATGGCTTGATAAGCTGAAAGATGCTGTCTTAGATGCGGAGGACTTGTTGGATGAAATCAACACAGATTCTTTGAGGTGCAAGGTGGAGGGAGAATCTAAAACCTTCACTACCCAGGTCAGATCATTCCTTTCTTCTCCCTTTAATCAATTTTATCGGAGCATCAATTCCAATCTTGAAGCAATATCTACAAGGCTAGAACATTTTGTGAAACATAAAGATATTCTTGGTTTGCAAAGTGTTTCTAGGAGAGTATCTTCCAGAACAGTTACAGATTCATTGGTTGAATCAGTTGTTGTTGCAAGGGAGGATGACAAAGAGAAGCTACTGAGAATGCTTCTATCTGATGAAGATGGGAAGAACAATCATATAGAAGTGCTGACAATATTGGGCATGGGTGGTCTTGGAAAAACAACCCTAGCTCAATGTCTTTATAATGATAATGCAGTGCAGAAACATTTTGATTTGACAACTTGGGCATGGGTATCTGATGATTTTGATGTGTTTAGAGTTACGAACTACTCAAGGTGGAGGGCCTGCTCCCAAATTAATAAATTTTGATGTCCGTTATTGTGAGAAACTTAGGTCACTTTCAGAACTGATTGATTTCCCTTCCCTTAAATACTTAAGGCTCTTTAAGCTTGCAAAGGTAGCATCATTAGGTGCAAGGCGTTTTCCTTCAAGTTTAGAATCACTTTGGATTGATGTTGGAATGCTATCATGTATGTCTAAAGATGAGTTAGGTTTCGTATTCCAACGCCTCACTTCTCTATTTGAGCTTTGTATTGAGGGTGGTGGGGAGGCAGATGGTGTTAACATCCCGCTGAAGGAGCCGTTACTGCCCACTTCTCTCCAACGGTTGTCCCTTGAGAGTCTTGATGGTTTGAAGTGTTTGGGAATGGAAGGAAAAGGGCTTCAACATCTCACATCTCTCCATTCTCTCTCCCTATGGGATTTAGATGAATTGAAGTCGTGGGAAGGGAATGGGCTTCAACATCTCACTTCTCTCCGAAAGCTTTGGATCTATAATTGCGAAAGCCTAGAGTCTTGGCCAGAAGATCACTTATCATCCTCTCTTGAAAGACTATGGATAAATGATTGTCCTTTACTAGAAGAGAGGTATCAAAATCAGAAAGGGAAATATTGGTCTAAGATTGCCCACATTCCTGCCATCCGGATAAATGATAAAGTGATAATATGAGTGGTTGGATGACTAGGAATCATCGAAAAGGTAAAGCCTTAAATTATTTCCACAAAAAAGTATGATGTCAATTTAATATCTCACTATACACATATAAACACGACTCTAACGCTTGACTGCTTAAATTATTATCTACCTATAAACTATTTATTTCAAACCATTTTTTGGTGTAATTGTGGTACATCGGATTTTGGTATTTCATTATGCTTAAAATTAAACTAAATCAAAATGGATTTATCAGAATGAATGGTAATTCATGCTATTAATTGAAAACCTATTTGTTATATTTAGTAAATTGTTAAGAGTTGTCCACAATTTGGATATAGTGTCATTTTTAATAATGAGTTTAATATGTTTTTATTTTCTCTCTAAATAAGGCCATGTTCACTTTTAGTTCCTCTAAAAATAGAATCTCATTTTAATCTTTTCATTTATGAAAATGTATTTTGTATTGTATGATTCTTATTTTTAAAAGCGAGAAAGCAAAAGAATATGACTTTTGTGAATAATAGGAACTGCAACTCACATTTTTATAAAACGAGGAATCATAATGAGATGGTTTATTTTGAAGAGACTGAAAATGAATACTTCTATATATTTATAACATATTTAATTCTTTTATCAAAGTTTTGGAAATTTATTTTCCAACTTGAAACATGCTTAAGTAGATAAATATTTAATTTAATTAAATTTTCACGTTTTGCTTGTCTCAAGAGACAGTAATATGATTTCTTGATTTAGCTTGTTTGTAAAGTGGAGTATAAGAACAATTATATATTTAGTTTAAATTTGATTCCATTTAATTATGTTTGATTAATTAGACTTTTTCTGGGTATGGTTAAATCACATAGTGAGAGATGTAAGTCTGAGGTAATATAAAGTCAATTTGATGAATAAGTGAACCCTTAACTTTATTGAGTAGATTGGATAAATCAAGGAAAGAAAACAATGGAATCAACTTTCTAATTTCTTATCTTTTAAAAAATAGAAATTCCATCAAATACTCTATTTACAAAACTCAAATGGAGTTTCATTTGATGAAGTCGATTACTATCTCTTCTATAATTTAAAACTTGTTATTGAATAATGTAGTGTTGGGCTGATTTTATTAATAATATTGATCTTTAAATTTTGATGAGATGACAATATTTTTTTCTTAATGAATACAGTTGGTAGCTGAGGTGGCAAGCTAGTAATATTTGTCGATTGTGAAGGTTCCAGCTTGTTCTATTGGTTGCATTCTTGTATCTAGTTCAATCTCATTGTCATGTTGGTTGTCTTAATTTCATTAACATTTGTAATTGGTCAAACTAAATTTGTGGTTTGTTGATGTTAATGTCCTGTTAGCTGGTTTTCTTTCTTTCTAAAACTTCAATATATTGGATTAGGATTGTGATATTGGTGTTGAATCATCCAAGTTTATTCAAATTAGAAATTGAAATTTGTGTTGAATCATTTGATAATGGTTTGTTAGCAGTGTATTCTTGTAATAAAATATTGGTATGTAAACTTTATTCTATTGCTCCAAGTTGAATATTTATAATTTACGATAGATATGTTCTTTTGATTATAACACTAACTTGGAAGTGATAGATTGAAGCTATCATATTTGCTACTTTCTGGTTTATGATCTCGTTGAATCTATAGTCTTGAGTTCTTTTGTATTACATGGTTGAATATATTATTTTGATAAGGAGGTGTAATTCCTCCTTACCAAATTCGACAGTTTAGGAATAAGTTGAAACTTTTAGTTGCGATTTCATGTAAGTACAAAATTGAACTCCAACTCCAATATTTTGAAGTTTTAATATTAAGCTTTATTGATAATTTAAAAATATTTAATAATTTAAAAATATTTTTAATTATTTAATAATTAAAAATGTTTATTGATATCTTTTACATATTGATAAAGTAGAGAAAGAGTTAGGAAAAATAAGATAGATGTGGGATGACATAAAGTGAAAGAAAGTGTATAGAGAGAAAAATCAAAGAGGGATGGATGGTAGAGAGATAAGAGAAGGAAGAAATAGAAACTGAGATGGGAAAAGAAAAAGAAATGTGAGAGGTGATGAACTAGGCATGGCTATAGGGTGGGTTGGATACAGGTTTTATGATATTCGTCTTTATCTCCACGGTTCAAATTCATTCTCGTTCCCGTCCACATATCCATCAGGTATATAATTTTTGTTTTATCCCCGTCTTCGTTGGATATTGAGTATACCCCTACTCATACTTGTCTCGTACCTGTTAAAAATTAATTAATTTTTATCTTTGCAAAAAACACACAATAATTTTAGCTTATCTTTCCATTATATTACAATTATAATTAGATTGTTTGTGTATCTCATATTTTAATCAAGAGACTTCTTAATAATTAAACAACCACAAATGTTTCACATCATAATAAGCAGTCACACATAATTAAATATTAAAATTCTTTAAAACAATCAAATTGAGGATGAGTATTAAATCGAGGATGGGGACGGGGACAAGGATAGGAACAGGACGGGTAAGTATATACTCGTCTCGATCCTTGTCACCGGTTTAATATTTCGAGTTTTACTTGTATTTGTACTCATACCCGGTCAAACTGAGTATTCTTCATCAAAGTCAAGACGGATTCGAGTATTATCTACATATACGAATTTATTTGTCATCCCTACCAACAATTGTAAGGAGGGGAGATAAGTGATATAGAGGTGTCATGAGAGAATGAGAAAGTATGATATTTTGTGAAATTTGAACTTTTACAATTTTAAGTAATCAAAATGCTTTTAAAAAATGATTAGAGTTTAAATTTTTTCTTATTATTTTAGCTAATGTTCACTAATTTGGTACTCTAACAAAGTTGTTGACCGATCCGTTAAAATAACCTTGTATTTTATTTCATGCTTGTATTATTTCTTTTTCTATTAATTTTGTTTATATGGTTGAAGGGAAACGTTCCTCCAGCAAGTTGCAAAATCTCACTACTTAAACAATGCAATCTTCTTTAGCTTCCATTTTTTATAAAAAGCAAGTTGAGCATCACAGTTAATGTTGCGTTAATATATTCAATGTCAATATATATATATATATATATATATATATATTAGATTAAATATGCTTTTAGTCTTCTAAAAATTGGATTATGCAAATTTAGAGGATTAAAAGTAACCAATATTTTTTTAAGGACTAAAAATAAATTGAGTCAATTTTTTGAGGACTAAAATCATATTTAACTCATATATATATATATAGAGAGATATGATCCGTTTACTTTATAAATAAGTTCACATATATTTATTATGTTCAATTATTCATATCTTACATCAGTTTTAATAATTCAAATGTTGAATTTAAATCTATAAATTTTTATAAAAATTTAAAAATTATTTGATATTTTGTTTCATTAATTCAAGTGAACGTATAAAGTATTTTTATGATTATCTATTAATTTGAATTAATGAGATAAAATATCAAATAATTTTTAAATTTTTAAAAAATTTACAAACTTAATCTATATATTAAAATTTTAATTCTAACAATTAGATCATTAAAATTTAATATAAAACATGAGTAACGAAATAAGCTTAGATAGAAAAGTCATGGTCCTTAGGTGAATTGAAGTTGTGGGAAGGGAATGGGCTTCAACATCTCACTTCTCTCCGAAAGCTTCACATCAATTATTGTGGAAGCCTAGAGCCCTTGCCAGAAGATCACTTGCCATCCTCTCTTGAATTTTTTTAGATAATTGATTGTCCTTTACTAGAAGAAAGGTATCAAAATCAGAAAGGGAAATATTGGTCTAAGATTGCTCACATTCCTAAGATAAATGATGAAGTAATATGAGTGGTTGGATGACTAGGAATCACCGAAAAGGTAAAGCCTTCAATTATTTGGTGAAACTATGATGTTAATTAATATCTCACTATACACATATAAATATGAGTTTAATGCTTGATTGCTTAAATTATTATCTATCTATAAACTAATTATTTCAAACCATTTTCTAGTATAATTGTGGTATATTCAATTTTGGTTTAGCGTTTAGGATTTATTTCAATATGTTTAATTATGCTTAAAATTAAAATAAATCAAAATAGATTTATCAGAACAAATGGTAATTCATGTTATTCACTGAAAATCTATTTATTAAATTTAGTAAATTGTTAAGAGTTGTCCACAAGTTGGATATAATGTCAATTTTAATAATGAGTTTAATATGTTTTTTATTTTCTCTCTAAATATGGCCATGTTCACTTTTAGTTCCTCTAAAAATATAATCTCATTTTAATCTTTTATTTATGAAAATGTGTTTTGTATTGTACAATTCTTATTTTTAAAAATGAGAAAGCAAAAGAATATGACTTTTGTGAATAATAGGACTGCAACTCACATTTTATAAAATGAGGAATGAAAATGAGATGGTTTATGTACTATCCGTACTGCGAAGCTGAGCTCTGAGCTCGGCACCACAACGCAAGCCGACCTCGAACGCGCATCGCGTGGCCTCGGCTCGGCATTTGAGTGAATCATAACTGATTCCCGAGGATCTCACCCTAGACGAGGTCCGTTATCTAATCATATTACATCTTATCTCAGGCCCAAGGCCCAAGGCAACCCTAAATCACACCAAGGTACGTGCATTATATATACGAGACTAATACTCACACAGACACTAACTTTAGCATCGGAGTCTCTTTTGCAGGTACCACCCCCATCTTGGAGCATCAACGTACCCGTGAAGGAGACTCACCAATCTTACTCGGAGAATCATCCCTACGGCAGATTTCCGGTAAGAACATTTGGCTCCCATTGTGGGGCCGATCGAGACAAGCTCTTATCGGTCACGCTCATGGTATTTACTAGAAGCCATAGTAGACGCGCAACAGACGACGCAGAACATTCAATTGCCATGGATAACGAAGCCACATTGAGGAGACTGATCGACCAAGTCGAGCAGATGCGGCAGCAACACGATGCCGATCTGCGCAACATGTGTGCCAAGCACGAAACCGACTTAGCAGCAATGCAGACCGCCAATGAAGCCGACCTGGCGGCGCTGTGCGCCGAGAATGAACGTATTCGCGCTCAACTCCCTCGGCGCCCCTCTGACCATCAGCCCCAAGCGAGCAACCTCCACGAGGGAGAAGCACACTCAGTCTCCCAATCCCGGACTGTAACTAGGGTTTCAACCCCCAGACTTGCTTCACATCGATCTCATGCACCGACGCACAAACCGACCCATGAAGTCAGCAAGGCCCCTACTCATATCGCAGGAGATCAGGCAACTTTCCGCCGCCACCCCTTTGTGGATGGCATCATGGAGACACCACTCCCTCACGAGTGGAAGCCTCTCCACCTCGATCGCTACGATGGCACGACGGACCCGGACGAGCACATCGACCTGTATACAATGCATGTAAACCTTTACACTAACAATGATGCTATCTTGTGTAGGGTGTTTCCGACATCACTTAAGGGGGCCGCGCTCATCTGGTACACCCAACTGCCTGCCGAGTCCATTGATAGCTTCAGCACCCTAGTCAGGAGGTTCACTGCACAATATGCGACGAGCCGACCTCACCACGTCACTTCAGCCGCCCTGGCCAGTCTCAGGCAAAACGATGACGAACCACTCCGGGCATTCATGGAACGATTCGCTGCCACCTCGATCAAGATCAGAAACCTGAATCCCAAGGTCGCCCTACATGCCATGCTCATGGCACTCAAACCCGAGCCATTCGTCAACAGCCTGTGTCGCGAGTCTCCCCACGACATGGACGAGCTCCGCGCCCGCGCTGCAGGATACATCCAGATGGAGGAACACTCCGCCTTCCGTGACCAAATTCGCGGAAAAGGACCAGCGAAGCCAGAACAAGGGCACAACAATAAGATCAAAGTCAACAATGACAGCCAGTTCAAGAAGTCGACTAGGGCAAACAGAGGGGGGAGATATGATTTCTACACTCCCCTGAACGCACCCAGAGTCCACATCCTGGAAGAAGCCAGCAATAACAACCTACTCGCCCTTTCGTCACTAGGTCACACTCCCAACAGCGCCGACAAGTCCAAGCACTATCAGTACCACCGAAACCACGGTCACACCACGGAGGAGTGTCGCACGCTCCGGGACCGTATCGAAGAGCTCATCCAGGCAGGCCACCTCGGCCAATATGTCCAGTGACAGCAGGGTCACTGAGGAGGCTATGGCGGTCGGGGGCGTGGCAGGGGCTGAGGTTCGGGAGCTCGCACAGACCAATCCTCTGGCTCCCAACAAAATGCCTGCGGCGCAGTGCAGGCCGAGATAAGCCAGGAGACAAGGACAACCCCCTTACGAGGAGTGATTAACACAATCGCAGGTGGTTTCGCTGGGGGAGGCGCTAGCAGCTCGGCCCGAAAGAGGCACCTGCGAAATGTCAACTGCTTCCACTCTACCTTGGCCTCGCACCAAAGATCACCACCGATCGCCTTCTCTGACGAGGACTACGTAGGGGTCAGCCCCAACCAAGATGATCCCATGGTTATCGTGGTGGAAGTCGCCAACTGGGAGGTACAGAAGACACTCAT